AAGAGATTGAGAGAAAGAGACTAAGACAGAGAGTGAGAGAAAGAGAGTGTGAGAGAGAGTGAGAGAGAGAAAGATAGAGTGAGAGAAAGAGCATGAGAGAGAGTGAGAGAAAGAAAGATAGAGTGAGAGAAAAAGAGTGAGAGAAAGAAAGATAGAGTGAGAGAAAGAGAGTGAGAGAGAAAGTAAGAGAAAGAGACTAAGAGAGAGAGTGAGAGAAAAAGATTGAGAGAAAGAGAGAGAGAGACTAAGAGAGAGAGGGAAAGAGTTAGAGAAAGAGAGTGAGAAATAGAGTGAGAGAAAGAGAGTGTCTATTGCTTTGCTTGGAGTAAAATGATTAAAAAAATCTAATTTAACTACAAGCGTAATTTAATATAATTTTATTTTCCATGTTGACTAATCCTTTTATTTTGTTGATATATAGAAGGATTTGTCAAGGTTATCTTATGACAAGTCCGTTCCCACCATATATAATGCTATATTTGGTTTGGGCGTTTGTTGGCCTTGTCTAATGAAAAATATACAAATTTTGACAGTTTTGAAAAATACAAATTAAATTTATATATATATCATAATATAATAATCCAGATGGATAAAAGGTGATGTTTCAAGAGTTCAAGCGTAAAAGACCTGGAGCATATAAGAAAGAAAGAGAATGAGAGAGAGAGAGTGAGAGAGAGAGAGTGAGAGAGAAAGAGTGAGAGAAAGATAGTGAGAGAGTGAGAATGAGAGAAAGAGAGTGAAAGAAAATTTGGAGAGTTGTGTTAAAAGGGAGGTAACTGATACTGAGACATCCAGAAGAGGCATGGTATGTGGAACTAGAACAATCTACCCTGGTGGATAAATGAAAGGGTTCAGTTTGAAATTCCAATCACCTGAAGAAGGCCAGAACTTCAATGGCTGAAACATTGTGAATATGGCAACAAAAATGAGGACAACAGTTCAAACAATATAGTGTAAATATACATATCTATGCATAGACACACACACACACACACACACACACACACACACACACACACACACACACACACACACATGCATTTAACAAGCTCATTTAAAATTCTTGAATAAACAATTTAGAGATTGACCATTAGTTTTTAAACCAACCGATTGCAAGTAGATCTTTGTTTTTTTGTTCTTTACTAGCTTGTATACCATTTTGTACTATTATTGTCTTTGTTGTTGATTGGTGACAGGCTGGTGCAAAAGGGTTTTACCTGCCCCTCACCCAACCTGAATCGATAATAAAGGGTCGCCTCCACTCTGCTTCATCTCAATCTTCTTAAAGTATTATTCACATAAAATACAAATGTCTATTGTAAACCTAATTATATCCAATAATGGATCATATGCAATATAGGTGAACAATTCATCTAGAAAAATTGAAAATAAATACAATTTATCTAAATACAAATTAGAGACGTGTCATAATGAATCATTTCATCTTAAATCAACAATGTTTTAATGTCAACTTGAGATTTTTCTTGCTATACATTTTTTGAAAAGAAAAAGAAAAAAATATTACGAGTGATACATATTTGAAAGAAAAATTATTACCAGAAATAGAATTTTTGAAAGAAAAATTATTACTAGAAATAGAATTTTTGAAGGAAAAATATTATCAGAAATAGACTTTTGAAAAAAATATTACCAACAATAAAAATTTTGTCGGCATTAAATAACCTATTGAGGTTGATATGCCGTAAAACCAAAACAAACAAAACCTAATTATGTACAATAATGGACCATATGCAATATAGATGAACAATTCATCTAGAAAAATAAATGCAATATATCTAAATACAAATTAGAGACATGTCATAATAGATAATAATTTTTTATTATGTGTTTTGGTTCTATAGTCTTACCAATTTTATTTAGATTCTTTTAGTTTAGATTTCCATCTGTTTTATTTTTAAGTATCTCACATTGTCATAAAAGAAAATCAACTTTACTATGGCTGACCGAATAATTAAAGCACTTTCTCAATCAAATACTAAAGGAGAAAACACATCACACAAAGACCTTTTCTACTTTCTCATATTCAGGGTTGGTGCAAGAGTCTCATGCTTCCCCAAATCTATAATACAGACCCCTTCCACACGTAAACCTATTATTCAGGGACCCTATTCTACTACATCTCAATTTTTATAAGATAGTATTCATATAAAACCTAATACAGTTACTACTGTAACCTAATAATGTACAATAATGTACAATAATGGATCATATTCAATATAAGTGAACAATTAGAAAAATTGAAAATAAATACAATGTATCTAAATACAAATTTGAGACATATCATAATAAATTGTTCCATCTTAAATAAATCAACAATGTTTTGCGACAATTTCTAACATCAACTTGAGATTTTTTTTTGTTAAAAAGTTGAATTACTTTAACATATTCAACATTATGGATAAAAAATAATGAATTTTATATACTAGTGTTTTTTTGAGACTTAGCATGAGCAAAACAAATTCATGGATTTGTCTGAAAAAAAAATTCTTGAGAATGATATCAAAATCTGGGAAAATGTTTCATCCTTTAATAGTCCGTTGGGCTTTGTTTAATTTGTAATGTATATAAATGTAGGTAAAAAAAAAAAGCACAGGCCATTTCCATGGGATGTTAACAGATATTAAATGTTTAAAAATAACCATAAATACATAAAAAATGTGTATATAGCTATTTTTGCTATAATGTTTTGTTATAATGCTTATTACTTAAACAATAATAAGGCTGAATAAATTTTTGTTTAAAAAATTAAAGTATATTTAATCACATCTCCCTAGTAACTGTCACAATCTGTAAATGCCATGTTAACATAACTTTTGTGTCTTTGACAATTTTTTATTGTTAGTAAACATGATATATATATATATATATATATATATATATATATATATATATATATATATATATATATATATATAATTATTTTTTAAAAATATGATTCCATCGCTACATAAGAATTACCATGTTTCAAAACAGAAGCTAAAAACTCTCAATTCACTTATAGAAATTAAATTAAAGTACCTAGTTCTGTTTCATCCTCAAGCAAATTTTGGGAATTCCATGTTTTATTGTTGTTATTATTATTATTATTGTTGTTATTATTATTGTTATATTTTTGTGGTCATTGATCACAATGTCTGGGTGATTAGCTTTGATTGTTCTGTCCGTGTGCATTTTAAAGTCCCATAAAATTGTAACAGGTCCTATCTCTGTAACCGGGACTGGGTGATGTTCATACCAGTTTCTTTCAGTTTCCTTCTTGTAAAAGTTGTAGATTTTCCAGTGCAGATATTGGCCCACTCTATCATGTGGAGTTTTATATTCAGTGGGTGCCAATACCATTCCACCTGTGCATAGATACATTACAGTCTGCTGGGACTGCCATATCAATAAGAAAGCACATTATTATAATTTATTATTGTTATTATTATTATCATTAATTATGTCTTACTTTTCCAAACATTATTTTGTGGATATCCATGTTTGAGTAGATTCTCATTTTATTTTCATTCAGTGTGCATTTGAGAGACTTAATAAAGAAAAAGAATATATATATATATATATATTACTCTCCAAGCTTATCAGTAGAATCGTGATGAAATCGATCATAAACAAAATGACATGTTCATCATTAATTAATCATAGCTAAGGATCGGAAGCTCGTGGAGGATTGAAATAAAGTTCAAATATATATATATATTATTCAAGGATCATTTTCCAACTTAGTCCAGATGATCTTCGCCCACTCTAACCTTCTAACTTTCTATTCGGTGTGCCTCACACATTTCACTTATGATTTCATTTTCAAGTCTTTTTTCACTGCTCTTTGGACTGTCATAGCTGAACTCATCTCGCCAAATATCTTATGAATTGAGTTGGATCTTTTCTTACTGATCTCTTTAGCTTTAAGTTGAAATGATCCATCTTCCTATTGTGACCTCCTGATAAAGTTTTCCTCTCTACTGTTCCCACTTTTCTTCTTTAATCTTATTTACCATTCTCTTGATGGTTCTTGAATGGACTTTGAAGATGGAAGCCAAAGTATAAATGTTGGTACCATTACTGAAGGCCTGGATGATCTTTTTCCTCTCACCATTGCTCAGTTGGGAAGACAGTGGAGCTGACACAAAACAATTTTAAGCTGTTCTCTTTCTAGCTGAATAACTCAAAGGGTTTTCCAGTGATTCCTATGACAAATGGTGTCAAGATGACTTATCTGAAAACCTGGAAAAAGAAACTCAATTAGGTAAGTGTTTTTTTTAGATATTAAAGATTTTGCGGGATGGATAATTATGCTGTTACTAGATTTGAACAATTTTGCTGTTACACCAGATATATCAATATAAAAACCATCTTTGAAAATTCAAGGACACACACACACACACACACACATACACACATATTACATAGAATAAAAATCAAAAGTTATCTTATTCAAATAGCTATTTTGACCCACAAGACTTACTTGTAGGCCTTGTCAACTCAAAGATATGAAGAAATAAAATAGGAGCTTAAAAATTTAAATATTTAAAGAATAAAAGAAGAGGAAGAGAGAAAGAGAGAAAGAGAAAAAAAACAGAAAAAGAAAAAAGAGAAAAAAAGAAAGAATTTATGCTCTGTTATAATAACTACATTGAGCTCTTTTTGTGGATCAGTTTTAATATTTTATATTATTAGGATTCACTTGGATTATTTAACAACGAATTATTACCTATATATATATATATATATATATATATATATATAAATATATATGTGTGTGTGTGTGTGTGTGTATGTATGCATGTACGTGTGTATGTGTATGTCGTTGAATTCAGAGAGGGTTATTATTTCAAAAGAATAAAGCTTTACGAATTGTAGTAGTAAATTGTTATAAATGAAAAAATGAAATGGCAAACTTATTTGAATGAGAAGAATTTCTAATTTAAAGGGAGATAACCTGGTTTTGCAGTTGGCCAGCATTGCCAGTAGTTGTAAATAACATGGAGGACGAAGCTGGGTAAGTGCTTGAAAAAAATAAAAATGTTTGTTTCGATGCTTCCTTTTTAATTAGGAAACTTTATCTTGCTAAATTGATTTTCTGCTGGAAGTGGTTCAAACTTACAAAGACATTTTGTGAGGTTTATTGATTCATTTTGATTCGTTAAACTGTTTTAATTTCTCCGTTAAAAAGCGAAGATTTGGAAATAATGGTTTAAAAAAAAAAAGATTAGAGTAAAAAACGTTGAATAATATAAACATGAAACTGAATTAATCAAGTTTTAAATGCTAATAATCTATAAATAAAAGTAACTGTTCCCATTATTTAAAAAAAATTCTGTTTTACCTTTTTATATAACGAAATGTTTTCATTGTTTAGTTTGTGAACATTTGTCATTAAAATCAATTCAAGAAAACTTTTAACTTGATCTTCTTGATTCTTGATCAAATATTTGTGGCTAAATTTATTAATAAATAATTAAACTTACAGATTAATTTATTATAAATGTATATTTCATTATATCTTGCTAAGGTCTGTTTATTTTTTTAATTTCGAATTTTATTTGAAATGAAAATATTTTTAATTACAGGTTTGTAAATGATTTTTTTGTTTAGATCGGACCTCCACTAATTTGTTGAAAAAAAAAAAGAACATGCTGCAACTAAAAGGCCCCAAACTTAATAAAAACAAAATTTATCATAAAAATGTTTATGTTATTATTAAAAGGAAAGACCAAAATATTTTTTGATTATTTAATTAATTTTTTTAGTCCTTTCTAGCAGGTTCGAAATTTTGGTTAAAAAATCTTGTTTTTCTTGTATCATCAGAAGACCATAAATTAATTTAGGAAATTTTGGCGTTTTTTTTTTCCTTTTTGCGGTAAAAAAACCAAGATTTGGAAATTCTTGCAAAAAAAACAGATAATTGTCGGATTTTAATGAAACTTTCAGGATTTATTCACAAATGATTCAAATTATTTTACAGAAATATTCCTTAAAACTAAAAGTGTATAGTAAAAAAACATCTTTACCACACCACTTAAATTTTAAAGGAATTTCGAGAAATTAATTAAATTTTGGCCCCCTAATGTAGGTACTTCCAATAATAAGCTGAAAAAAAGGCATATCATGATGAAAAAAAGCCCCAAACTTAATAAAAACAATACTTTATTGTCAAAAAAATGTTTAAGAGGAAAGAACAAAGTATTTTTTAAATTATTTTTAAACATTTTTTACTCCTTTCTAACACGTTCGAAATTTTTGTTTATATTAATTTAAAAGCAGAAATTCTTGAAGAATTTTAATTTTTTTTTTTGTAAAAGTAACAAACACCAGTTACCGAAAATATGCTCTGAATCATAAAACAAAAAATGCAATAAAATATAAAACTAAAAATGTTATTTAATTAGAAAAGCTTTTAATTGCTTTATGAACAAAATGTATTTATTAAGAAAAACATTTTCAATAAATAATGAATTTTTACAGGAATTTTCATTTTTTTTTTTTAATTTTAATTAGAATAATTAATTTTCAAGCCTTTTAAATTTCTGCATTACTTTGACCCCCACCATTAGGTGATATTGTTATTAAGTAAAATAAAAAAAAACTATATTTACTAATAGTAATCATATATGGAAAAGTTAGTACAAATCATCAAACATCAATATTTTTAAAAGAATTAAAAAAATTTTTTGTGTGTGCATAAACATGCTGATTTTTGTAGATACAGATGTTTATACACAGCATTATCAGAAAATAATAGCGACAGTAAATTTAAAGCCAAACTATCTAAAATTCAATAAAACAGATTATAGATTATGGAGAATACTTTTTTAAATTACTGAGTACTTAAAAATTGTATAAAAGGCGCTCATGTTATATTCATCAATTATTTTTTACAGATATAGAAAACCATTAGATAAACATCCATCTGGCTTCATTCTTTAGCTTTCAACATGTCAACAACTTAAATCAACAATTACTGCCATGTTAAAAATTGCATTTTTGTGATATTTTAAACTTAAAGTAAATAATATTTGTTTCAAATCAGATTAATTATATTTTAAATCAGCTAATATTCCTTAAATAAAGTTTCTGAAAAGTATATTTTATTTCTGGAAGATTTTTTTAAATAAAGAGAATTACATTGTGATGAGGGCTAAAAATGGCACTGATATCTGAAAATGCTTTCCAGACAATTTAAATTAGTTTTGAAATAGAGCAAAGTAATTTGCTTATTGGAAATATTAAATTTAATCTATTGGCTTGACATTAAAACTAAAATAACAGCTTCAAGAAGGATTTTTTATTTAAAAAAATTCATTTTAAACCTTAGGTATCATGAATCTGTGAATTTGGTTTTTCTTTGTCTATCAAGTCAAAACAAAGGTTTGAAAACTTGATAACATTTTAAGTTTGTATCTTACCTGAGAACATTTTGAAATATAATTTGTATTTGTTAAAAAAAAGCAAAATGAAAATAATCATTGATCTGGATCAGGAATATTAACAAAACTAAATTTTGGAAACATGTTACAGACTTCTTTTTTTTTTACAGCTGATGTTCACAGAGCATTGCTTAGTTTAGGCTCAAAGTTACAATTATGTGGCACACAGTGAGGTTTGAACTCAGTTGCTGACTATTAACCATAATTGGGCATCCGGGACATCACGAAAAATGATGATTGGAATTTTGAACCAAACCCTTTATTAATTCTGTTGGGTTAGATTGTTCTAGTTCCACACGCCATGCCTCTTCCAGATATCTCAGTTTCAGTTATTTCCCTTTAACTCAACTTTCCAAGTTTTTTGTTCCAGTGGAATGGTTAAAGTAATCCTGAAACTTCAGAAGAGGCATGGCATGTGGAACTAGAACAATCTACCCCAGTGGACAAAATAAAGGGTTCAGTTTGAAATTCCAATCCCCTGAAGAAGTCTGGAGTGTACAATGGCCAAAATGTGAATATGACAACAGTCCAAACAATGTAAATACAATGAAGTTTATGCAACGGAACAAAACTACTACATTTTGATAGTTTGTCAAAACTGGTCCCAAGCTGGTCAAGAAATCCAGAGTGTATTGGGGCCAGCTCTCAGCACCTATAAAAACATAGAATTGCTGAAGAAACAATAAATCTCTAATGAATTAACAATCTTATATTGCATAAACAAAAATGGTGATAAACATTATCCAGTATATGCTGTTGGATTGTTAGACCCTTGTCCTAAAAATGTCAAGTATGATTGATTTGTTTTTTTTGTTTTTTTTAAATCCCTCTTTCTTTTCTGTTCATTCTTGGCAGTTTGTTTGCTTTTTGTCAGTTTTAACATCCCAAACAAATTCTGCATTCCAAATACTGAATGATCTCCCTCAGATTTCTATACAGAGATTTTGATTCAGGAGTACAGGGTTGTGGGGTGAAAAGTAACTCCATATTTAAAATTGTTAATAACTTTATTAATTATTGGTCAATTTTCATAAAACTAGTTTTATTTTAAACAGTAAAATGTTAGAAGTAAAGTATGGTGTTATAATTCTACAGAGATATTAGTGTTGTCCACCTGTGTTTGTTGCAATATGTCTGGGTATATCCTTGAACATTTCATGTACCTTTTGCACATTTTGTTCCAATCTGAATCTTTAAGGATGGTCACTTTTGTGGGTATCTACTCCAGATCTTGTACTCATCAGCTCGGAATGACAATTTCTGATGGTTTTGGCATCTACTGAAGCACAAGGCCCATGAAACACTGTGCCACCATCTCTGCAGTTGTACCATGGGCTGTCACTCACTCATACAGTGTCAGGTGTTGTGTCATTCTGAGCTGCACTTGTCACTCTGACATAAAAATGCTTATAGCCACATCACATTAAAACAGTAGTTCTCGTACCATCACCAAAGTTAAAAAAGTTAGCCTAGATAGGTGGCCACTTTGGAAATAGTTGGTGGTGGAATGGATAATAACCTGGAATTGTTAATCAGAGTTAAGTTCCAATTCCAATTGGGTTTGTTATATTTACTTATGCACATATACCTTCGGGAAAGATATGAATCCACCTCCTCTCCTCCAGATATGGGTTAAATATTAAGATTTGTATCATTAAACTATTATTATTCACCTTCCAAATTCTTATAACCTAAAAATATTTTCTGGCTTTAATTAACCTGCAAAAGGATTGATAAGTGAAAAAAAACATTTCAGTCAATGAAATACGGACTAGTTACACAGGTATGTCTTTTAGATTTATTTACATTCTTTAGAATATAAATGTATAGAAACTATTGTATCCACAAAATGAGGGATCAGTTTATATACTGATTTTAATATAGAATTGAATCTACATTTTATATCTACATAATAATTTCTTGTTTATCATATTATAATTAGTTATGAATCCAACTCTTCTCCACCAGCTATAGGTTTATTAGTAAGACTTGTATCACTAAAAAACATTATTATCTAAAAAAAATTCTTACAATCCAAAAAAATATTTTCTGACTTTAAATAACCAGCAAAGGGTTGATAAGCTGTAAAAAACAGATCAATCAATCACTGTGTTGTGCTGAACCTTGAATATTGCTGCCACATCTGGTTTTAATGTATAGGGGTCTCAACAGTTTAATCCTAAACCACTCATCTACCCACCCAGATGATTTGATTCCAGTGGTGAAGGCTAGTACAGGACTAGACATACTTTTTGGAAGAATTAGAGAAATGGTGCCAGGAAATCTCCAAACAGCTCTCATCAGGTTTGAATTAAGACTTGTTGTCAATCAAGGCAAGAAAACCTAGTCTACCCTGCTATTTAACCCATAACTTAGCCTGTTTATTTAATCCAATATAAAAATGTCAAATGCAGAACTTCATTGTGGTGACTTCAAGTTTCATGTTATGAATTGATCCTCAGATGGTTAGTTTCATACAACATGAAACTTGAAGTCAGAATGGAATTTTGTGCCTCTTTCTTTAGATTCTATTCCAGCTCTGTTCTTGCTGGACATCTTTTAGATTTTTCAACACTTTTTTCTCACCAGACACTTGCAACTTTATAAGTTTGCCATTTGTCTGTGCATTGAATATTTTTGCTACATATAGTCTGCTGCTTCTGCTATGTATCTAAAGATTCTTGACAAAATCCAAAGAAGAATCTGCTATGTTACTGGTCAGGACCTGGCATCTCGGCTTCAATCACTTCTCCCCAACCACCACCATAAAGTTGCTTCCCTGTGCTTTTTCTATAAATATTTTTATGGCTGTTGTTCTGATTAGCTTTCCGCTTTAATATCTCTCCTTCATGAATTTAAACATAGTACTAGATTGGCAGTTAGGTCTCATCATTTTACTGTTGAAATTGCTAAGTGTAACTGTAAAATAGTTTCTTAGCCCTCATACTTCTTTTTGTTGTTTCAATGAACACTCTTGCAACTTTTGTAATGTCAATGAATACTCGTTGTTTTTGTAATGCTTGTTGTAGTAAAGACTTTGTAATTGAAGATACAACTATAGTAACACCGTTGAACAATGCTGGTGTCAGACACCTTTGAATAACACTCACATTAAAAGTACTTGTTCGATAATACTCGCTTGAATAGTAATCTGTGTGGAGAAATAGTATAGTGAATAGAGTAGAGAATAGCGGTCCGTATAGTAATAGAGGATAGACTAGAAATAATGATCTGAATAGTAATAGAGGATAGACTAAATAAAAGATCAATCTAGACATCACATGACTTCCTACATATGAGTTTCCTCTATAGTCACATGGTCAACTTAATTCAATAATGGGATTGCCTGTTTTTGCTCACTGGCGATCTATGTTCAAACTCCATGACTCTTTATTCCTATATAACACTTCTTGCCTGTGGAACTGTCTTCTAGCTTCCTGCTTTCCTGTCAACTATGATATTCAAAAATTTAAATGCAATGTCAACTGTCATCTTCTGTCTTCTTGAATCCTGTTCTCTCTATTTTCCTTTCTCTTCATTATGTTTTCTCATTTTCTTTCATTCTCAGTAACCCACTCCGTCTTCGTGGCTTTATTACCTTACCTTGGAGATTAAAAGAAAATTCCTATAATCAAATCGTTCCCAATGTTTAATGCAATATCAATTGCCATCTTTTGTCCCCTTGAATCCTGTTCTTTTTATTTACCTTTCTCTTCAGTAATGTCTTTGCAATTTCCTTCACTCTGTTGTCTTTCACTCTCAGTAACCCCTTGCGCCTTAGTGGGTTTGGCTGAAATGATAAATGTTTAATGCAACATCAATTGCCATCTAAATATAATAAAACACTTTGCATCTAAGGTGGTTTCATTTTATAGTTCTTATTTTTGTCTATTTTATTTCCGGTGTCAATTTTTTTTTTCTTTAGTCATTTTCAAGGTTTCACTAATTACACACACACATGCGCGCACACACACACACACACACACACTAGACTCTACCATCGTTTTCAATATATATGGGTTCAACAGCATGTTCCACCATTGATATCCTTCTGTTTCTGCCTGTAATGTCTTTTTGAAATCCACATATTTCACATGCAGGACAAGGAATGGAACCCTTTGTGTAGGCCTCAGGAGTGTTAGAGTGGTATTCAGTGTTTTGCTTTGTAATACATATAGATGCTCAGTATACATACCTACCTATGTAGAGGGTCAAAACATGATGACCCCCAAAACAAAATAACTGGTTCCTGAAATCAATGCATGATATTTAAAATTGAAATGTTACATTTAAATATTTGTAGAATTCTATTATATAAACAAATATTTATAAAAATCTGATTATTGTTTTCTTTAATGTTACTAGAGAATGATCCTTGCAAATCATATTTTGCTTGTAAAATAAACAAAAATGCTTGTAAAATCTCTTATTTTGCTAATTTGACAATCCATAATTATTCTTGTGCAAACCTGTTTCTTTTTGCAGGCTTCTTCATGTGAGCAGAACTAAACGATGTTTTCCCCCACCTCCTGATAACACAGAGCAGCAACCTTGTAAGGTTCGGTTAATGGAGCTTGATCCAGACACTGGTACCGAGACATTGCCAGCCATTCAAACAGTGCATGCTGCAACCATTACTTCAACAGCATCGTCAGTAAGCCTGACTCCCACAGTTGATAAGTCCAACTCATCTGTAAGTAATTTCCAGCCAGAAACGACCGAGACCTACTCGGAGCCTTTATTCTCCTCTCTTCGTAGCCATCATGCAAATAATCGTTGCCAGGAAAGAAAGGCATTGAACTCTAAAGATTTTTACACACCTCACTGTCCAAATGTCCACAGCCAGTTTGAACCAAATAAATCCCAACCGCAGCAGGTGGAAATTCCACACCGGATATGGCAGTGTTCACCACCTCAGCAAGAATCTTCACCTTCTTTGAAGAGTTCTACTTGCAAAGATAAAAATAGTCCAAACTCGGCATGCAATCATTCGGATGAAGATGTGCTGCCTTCGTCAAGATGCCAAAACATTCTCGAGCTTCCAAACAGCATTCTTTTATACATCTTCCAGTATTTGACCATTTCACAGCGGCTCTGCTGTGTAGCCCTGGTATGTACCAAATGGTATGAATTGAGTAAAGACCCTTCTTTATGGCGAATCATTTGCTTTCAAGACCTGACTCACATGTGTATCACCGATGAAATTCTCGACAAGGTCACCTCATACAGCAATCATGTGATCCATTTGGATCTTTCAAACATCATGGGCTTCACGCTTAATGGAATATCTTCTCTGCTCAAAAAATGTCGGCATTTAATTTATTTATCTCTTAAAGGGTAGGTAACTCTTTCTCAACTATTTTTTTTCTTCTCTTTTAAATGGTATTGGAATGGGAAAGTCTTTTTACAAAGATTCAAGATTCTCGCTTTACTATTGGCAGAAACATAATTTTGCAATTGCATTGCAATTTTTCAATATCAAAACCTTTATTTGAAATATTTCTAACATATACTATTTATTATTGTTGTACTGGAACACACCTATTCCATAGTTAATAGACTCTCCCACCTATAATAAGTAGGAGTAGTAGCAGTAGCTAAGTCAGTTGCTCAGTGAGTTGGTCATTCAGTCGATGTTGGATATTAAAGTATCAGCCACCACAACTAGATTGCTGCGTCATTAACTATTATATCAAGTTCCTAACATTTTGTACGTCGAACCTTTTTAGGACCGACTTAGTGAAATACAAGCCTCTACTGTGAAACTATTCTATAACAATTATAAAACCATTTTTTATTTTTTTCAGTATTTTTTATCTAAACAATAATCTAACAGAATAATGACATGGATTTGGGATGTAAAAAAAATTACAAACACACACACAAAATTTATATATATGTGTTTTGAACAATAAAAAATATTAAAAAATTAAAAATTTTCAGACACACTTGGTTGTATATTAATATTTTTTTGTTTTATTATTTCAATTAAGTTCCTTGACTAGTTTCGGCCAGCATGGCCATCATCAGGAGAAAAAAATTCCCTGCTTCTTAGTAGCAGTGAACTACAGGAGTAAATGGCTGTCTCTGAAGAAAGTGAACTTGTATATATATATATATATATATAATATATGTGGGCTGTTTAGAGAAATTTGAGGAATAAAAACACAACAAAATGATAAAAATATTATCAGTAAGACTAATAATATTTATTTTATATCGGTAAGCCCTTTGATTGAACAGAAACGCAAAAAGAAAGATTTTAAAGTCAGAATTTTCAGACACACGTGTTTCTTTTATAAATGAGACAAGAAATAATAAAGTGGGACTCTCTTTTCTGTGGAATTTCTTGTTTTCCCATATATTGCTGCAAGGAATTTGGTAGTTTTGGCCTCTTAGTTTGTCAGGATTAGGGTTGTGGAAGGTTTGCAGAAGGCTCTTTTTGGAAACGTCTTTCTCTGAGTAAGCCTAAATTCCTGTTTAATCCTTTAATATATTATACTATTTTAGAAAAGTATTTTAACTTTAACTTTCATCATCCCTCTTGGCACTTCAATGAAGATGCTAAAAGCATGTATCAGGCATATTTTGGCAGCAAGAATTCTTTCAAACAGGTTTGGTTAAATAATATTGACAAATTCTGTCTTTCAAATTTTCTTTTATTAAATTTTTCAAATTTCCGAATTAGTTGTTTTATGTTATCAGTAAATTTGCTATATTTCATATTTATTTTTATTTTATTTTAGTTTTTTCTGATTACTTTCAAATGTTGCTACATTTGTTTTCAAAAAAAAAAATACACACTAAAATTCCCATCTAACTGTATAAATGCCATCATATTGAGTGAATTAAACAAAAACAGTTGTGTAAATATATGCAAAATGCAATCCTTGAAAATGAAATTCAGACAAGAAGTTCTCCTTGTTTCATCTCTTCGGGCATTTTGCCAATTTTAAAATAAGATGTTGGAAATCTAAATGAAAAATTGTAGATAAACTGTTCAAATTTTTATCAGAATTTCTGGGATGAGGAATTATCATTATTTCTATTATTTATATTCAGACTAATATCCTCATCTTTGTTGTTATTATCACAACATTTTGGCTTTCTGGGATGAGGAATTATCATTATTTTTATTATTTACATTCAGACTAATATCCTCATCTTTGTTGTTATTATCACAATATTTTAGCTTTCTGGGATGAGGAATTATCATTATTTCCATTATTTACAGTCACACTAATATCCTCATCTTTGTTGTTATTATCACAACATTTTGGCTTTCTGGGAAGAGGAATTATCATTATTTATATCATTTATAGTCAAACTATTGTCTTCATCATTGTTATTACCACGTTTTGACATTCTGAGATGAGGAATTAAATCATTAAAAAAGCAGAATTCTTTGTAAATTCTCTTCCAACTCTACTCTCAAATCATCAGAAGTATTTTTGGCTGATTTTTTTCCACCCTAGAGCAGAATCCCTACTGAGTTATATGCACATAATTTTATCCATGGTTTCTATGATAATTTCTAAACTAGATCCACACAAAGCAGATTCAACAGTATCCTTGCAATTATTCTAAAGAAATCTACTCCTAATCTGTCTATTTTTGACCTTTGGATTGAATGATGACAATTCTTGGAGTGCGGATGTTGACAGGAGACTTTGTATTTGTTCTTCTGATGAAACAGGTTTTCAGTGCTTACCAGGTTGTGTTCGTCACATTTGGTAAGAAGGAGAGTTTTGGTGGTGTTGATGTTGCCAACTCCTTTCTTGTCTATTGCTCCATTCTATAGTCTGCGATCTTTCCCAACTCTGGCATTGAAGTCTCCTGAAAGGATGATCTTGCGTTTTTTTTTTTTCTTTTTTTTTTTTTGGGAGTAGAGGAAAAGGATGTTATCAAGCTTAGAATAGAAATCATCTTTGATCTCGTCTTCAGCATCCAAAGGTGGTACATAAGCACTTATTCTATGGTCATTTTGCTTTCATTTTTTTTGTCTTTTCGCATTGCCAACTCCTGTTGTTGTAGATTACCTCTCATCTCTCCTAATTAATTGATTTTTATTGCATTAAATAAAATTCATATATTTTGATGTAAAATATGTTTTATAATTGTTTTTGTCCTCTTTATAGTTGCTGCTGCCTCCCCGATTCAGCATTTCGTCTCATTAGCCAGCATCTGCCTGACTTGCAACAACTGTGTCTTGATGACTGTTTTGCAGTTACTAATGAAACAATGATAGAGGTAAGGAGTGGCCATTCCAATCCAGAAAACAAGAGGGTGGATGTGGTGATGGGGATTGATTGTTGCACTGAAAATAAACAACATCCAATAATTGATGAGGCAAGCTTGTAGCTGTGATAAATCCATATTGAATGGAAGAGGAATCTTTTGTTGTTACTAAATAACTTTCATCTTCTTCTTCTTCATATACTAAAGTTGCTACTTAAATAACCTGGTCCACCCCCCAAATTTTTTTTTGTAGTTCAGCTTTCTTTCTTAGGCCACAGTACTTGTAGGATTTGCTAAATATTAATATTTTTTATCGCTTTAGGAAGACAGGGTCTTGTCTATAATATCAATACAGTGTCAAATCAATCCCTGACAGAATTATTGGACTTTTTTTGTGTAACCATTCAGGAATTGCAATAAAATGCGAGAGAAAATGAAAGAAATACTAGTGAAAAATGAATAATAATTGCCAAGGCTTCATTTAAGAAATTCAGACAATTTAAGACTATTACTACTTGGTGGAAAAGCAAGAGAAATAAGATGCAAGAAATACTAGTGAAAAATGAATAATAATTGTCAAGGCTTCATCTAAGAAATTCAGACAACTTCAGACTATTACTACTTGGTGGAAAAGCAAGAGAAATAAGATGAAAGAAATACTAGTGAAAAATGAATAATAATTGCCAAGGCTTCATCTAAGAAATTCAGACAACTTAAGACTATTACTACTTGGTTGAAAAGCAAGAGAAATAAGATGAAAGAAATACTAGTGAAAAATGAATAATAATTGCCAAGACTTCATCTAAGAAATTCAGACAACTTAAGACTATTACTACTTGGTAGAAAAGCAAGAGAAATAAGATGAAATAATTACTAAATACTAAAATGAATAATGTGAGATAAAGATAGCACTCTGTTCAAAATTCAGTCCTTTGGAATGACCTGGGTACAAGCCTGGGGGATAGCCTTTTCCATGTTTTGGATATGATCGCAAGGCAACTGAGATTTAAATTGTGGGTTTTCCTTCCCCTAGATGGACTGCCTTCCTGGGATGTTGAGCTTTATCTACCTGTAGCAGCTGGTTATAAGGGCACCAGTTGTCTGCCTTTGCCCATTCTACAGCTTTGAACTGGATTTAATTGTCCAATGCTAAAACATTTCATAGACAGTGGGAGTTTGTCTCCACTATCATCCCAAGCTATGACAACCTTTAGAATATGTATAAATGTACATATATATACATACATTGTTTTTTAGATGATCCTCCCCCTAAAAAAAATTAATGCTTTTTTTTTAAATATATAAAATGTTAGGTAAACAAAAAAACTAGAAAGTAAGATAAATTACAAAATATTCATACATAAACAAACACAAATATCAAAAAGGTTTTTAAGTTAATTTTTACAAAAAGTTAGCAGAAACAAAATATGAAAATATAAATTGGGATTTAAGCCTAAAATACTTGGAGATTATGAAGTCATTATTTAACATACGATAAAAATAATTTATACTGCCTTTTTGACAGTATTAATACCTAAACTATCCAATTCCTCAATCCAAGCTGCTATCCACTACTCCACCATGCCTCACACACACACACACACATAATAATATAAATAAATAAAAAATCGTCCCCAGACAGACTGTTTCGCTGTATCACAGCTCTTCAGTATGGCTAGACATCTGATTGCTTCAAGCCGGCACCGATTTGACATCAATCAGAGATTCTTACCCCTAGGCTCTCGATGCCTGGCAGAGAGAAAGGTGAATTTATATGTATTTATTTCTTCATAAACACGCCAGTGACCTAGAGAACTCAATCCAATTTGGAGAGTCTTAATTTAGAGTGTGTGTATATATATATATATATATATATATATATATATATATATATATATGTATGTTTCTGAGATACAGCTTAAATGATAGATAATATCCCAACCAATTTAGTAACATATTGTACCTTGAACCCCTACTGTATCAGGTGCCAAATTTCATTAAAATTGTACATCAGATTCTTGATGGCACTTTTAATATGAAATTCAGTATTTGTTTTCAATACACATTCTTATATAAATATTCAGAAAACATAAGACTGTTATTACTTGGTATAAAAGCAAGAGAAATAAGATGGAAGAAATACTTGTCAAATATATAAACAATAAATAAACAAACACTTGTCTATTAGATCCCAACTATTATGTGTTTGAAAAATAATAAACATTTATAATACATTATAACAACATCATTAAATAAATTTAAATATGCATAGCACAACATATATTTATACAATTCACTACATTAGAATTTTTTTTTGAAAGACAACTACTTGAAAGGTGGAGAGATTATGTGTCACATGACTTGATAGTGAATTGCTGATTTGCTGCCGTTATGTATTTTTTAATTAAATGTGAGGAAGAAAAAATTATGTATGATAAAGATATACTTATTATTTTGAAAAAGACTATTGCTCCAAATCTTCACCCAATCTGTTAACTGGTGGAACAATAAACCTTCTTTTGCCATTTTTAAATAAAAATTAATATGTGTAATTCATAAAATTGATTTTATTGTAACTGTATCATTTTGTATCACAAACTGATTTTAAAAGAAACTCAATAGGTTTATGGGTGGACTAATATATAATAAATTAAATAAAAGAAATAAGAATTGTGAATTATGTTAAATTATTATATTACTTTTAAGCAATATTTACATTTTTTTTCCAACTAAACTTAAAAAGTGTCATCTCCCTTTGAGTTCAGAATGCCAATTTATAATTAATTAAACGAACCCAAACTGGTTTGGTAGACTTCTGGGATTTATTGGCTATTTGTCTGCAGCTCAGTTGGAATAAGATAATACTTATCTTTGGAATAAAGCTGCTGAGAGCACCATTTTAATGTTTGATCCATAGTAATTCTTTCCCCAAATACCAAATTGATGTTTCTTCTTGTTTCAATTGAATTTTGTTTTTTGTAAGAATCATTTCACCCCAAGCAAGGTAGTAATGCCACTAAGATGCAAGGGATTACTGGGAATGAAAGAGAATGAGAAGATGAGGAAAAGGAAACAGGAAACAAAGGATAAACCTCTACTCCTGTTCAAAAGATGATGAAAGAGTGTGAACTAGGCAATAAGCAAACCTATCTACTCCTATTAAATTTTGTGCCAGTTTAAACTTTTAGGGCAAGAATAGTCTTGTTTGCTCTACAGACAGAATATAAATGAAACAGATAAACAGACTATTTTGAAATATGTGTGACATGACATTAGAATAACCAGATTGACAATATCCCATAATTCAATAGACCGCCTGCTTCAATCCATCTTAAGAGTATCATGTCAAGAGTGAGTGTCAGTTTGATGCTTTATATGATATAAATGATCTTTCTTTTCTTTTTTTCTGTTTTCTTCCTTATTAAAAGATTTATTTTTCATTTTAGATTTTCATCAATTGCTCCAAATTGACTCATGTCAGTGTCAGTTCACATTTAAATTCCAAAGCTGTCCTTACATTGGCCAGTCATTGCCCAGGGCTCAAACTTCTCCACATTTCCTATTGTGAAGCTGTAAGTAATGTCTATTGGCACCAAGCTTTTTCTTTTTGCATATGGTTTTTGCTTTCTTTTACAGAATTGTCTGGACGAATTTGAGAACTCCTATGAGCCTAGGTCTTACCTCTAAAGTTGGTAAATAGACAGACTAGTTTTCCATATTTGGAGAGGACTTCCGATTATTACAGATATTATACTAACTTTACTGTGTATGGCAAACCTGTGAGTGAGACAAGATTTTCATATAAACTATTTTTGCTTGGCACTTGATTCTATGAGTGAAGCAGAAAAATGACTATATTTAATGAAATATTAGAAAGACGTCCAACTCCTGGGTTTGATGATAAACTACATCCAGCAGCAAGGCCTCTGATCAAGAGACTGTTAGGGTCCCAGCTATGGGAAAATAGTGTTTTGATTTTTGTTTGGTGGTTCACTCAGAAAGTGTAGTAATTTATTTTTTTATAGCAAAATGACAATGAATACCGCACTAAAGCAAAATATACATTTTTATAATAAAATTATCATCAATACATTTTATCATCTACAAACTAGAGATCTAAAAAAAAAAAAATATATATATATATACATTTGTCCTGAAAGTATAAAATTATGTACAAAAATATCTGCAGTTGACAGGCATTCAATTGCATACAAAATATCTGAAGTTGACAGGCATTCAATTGCATACAAAATATTTAGACGTCAACATTAAATGACTCCCAGAAGTGTTGATAAGCTGCTAAATAAAAACAACCAACCAACATATTTCAGCGAGATTTGTTAAGCAAGGGATCTTACGTATCATCAAAAGAAGAGGTCTTACATGCCATCAAAAAAAGTTGGTTTTACTCAAAGAGAAAATAACATAATCAAGATGTTGACATTCCACACTACTTCAAACAAAAGGCTAGAGAGGAAACTCCCCATCAATATTGGAAAAAGCAATAACAGTGAATTTGAGAAAACTAGTTTCCTGAAAAATTGTTTTAAGAGAAATATTTTATAAATTTCAACTGACAGTAGCACTGAGTGCTCAGTCAATGAATGTCAAATGTTTCCTTATAAGGAAACAGTTACTATCACATACTCTTGAAAAGATGGGTTTTACAAGCTGTCAATAAAAAGTGTTTATTTTTTAATTATTCTGAATGAATTCTCTTTAAATTTTCTTTTTCTTTCCAAAGAATTTGTTAACCTACTTTCAGTTTATTTGCTCTTTCAATTTTCTTTTTGAAAATCTCATTTTTTAGCCAAAGAATGTGGGTTGAGTCAGGCAGTTTCTCCCTTTTGTTATTTTTATCTTGGTTTCAGTCATGTACCCAGCACTCCCATCCAGCTACCTGGATATTTATTTAATCTTGCTCTGGGACAACACACATTTCCCCTTTCATGTCTAGTGCCTGTATATTCTTAAGATTGTCTCCTGACTTTTGTACTGGACCCATAAACCTCTTGGGTACACATCTCTTTCAGAATCCAACCTTCACCTGAAGAAGGCTGAAGGGAACATGGCTGAAATGTTATCAAAAGACAAAACCTGGAAAGAGAGAAGGAAATTAGTCTCAACCAAAACTAAGTAGTTATTAAAATATCTTTTCTTACAAAATTCAAACTTGAAATAGAATTGTGGATCATAGATAGGAATAAAACTTTGAAGAATTGGTTACTCTATTCGTCTTAAGAATTGGTATCTTTATTGGTTTACATTAGATTTGGTTGATTGAAAACATTTGAACCTTTGTCTTTAATCAAAAGATAAACCTTGATTTCATTTATACTTGAGTTATGCAAGCATCTACTGGGAAGGTGGCCGCTTTGGTGTAGGTTGGAGGTTGGTATATTCTAAGCCCCACCGGAAGGGCACTATTACATTTATTTTAATACTTGTAGAATTTAGTTTATAAAAGATTACAAGTGTAGAGTACTTGTTAGAGCTATTGCTGTTCATTCCTCATAGGTGCCCCACTATTTGGACCTTGTACCAGACTTGGCTGGGCACTGTTACTGTGGAATGATGGTAACCAAACTAGTTCAAAGATAATTTTCTATAAGTGAGTCTTGTGGGCGCTCTCACTGTTGTGGCCAGACTATTTTCAGCTTCTGTGCCTGGTGTTGCTCAGTCCTCACTGTCTGACGTTGATAAGTCTGAAAGTGATTATGCAGCCTTGTGGGTGATGAATTAGTTTCCCTTTGGCAAACCCCTTTCCCCACAAAAGAAACACTACTAGCATCTTAAGCATCTTACTACTTTAATCAGTATTTCTATGGTTAAATGTCCAGATGAGTTTCATTCCTTAGTTCCAACTTTTTCACAGCAAAGACCCCCTGCCATGTATAAAGAGGTCAAATCATTGTAATTCCCTTTGTATTCCTTTTGGTAAGGAGGAAGTTCCATTTGGACAGCTTCTTTCTCAGAACTGTCACTTTGTGGAACAGACTCCCAAGAGGATGCTCTCCCAACCACTACAATATTAATCTCTTCAAGTCCTGGGTCAGCCATTATCTATCATACATATCCTTATAATATGCATCTCTTCCATTTACACACTTACAGCAGTCTCATTCAGTAACCCTCTACCTTGGGTGGCTCTTGGGCCTTGTATTAGGGCAGCACTTCTTAAACTATGGGTTACAACCCGAAATACTGGAGTTGCGAAAATTAAATTCAAACCCTTGACAAACGCACAATATTTAACGTGATGTTCCACGCAAGCACTACAGTGATAAAATGCATGTGTGGCGCCGTTGTGACTAGTGCAGTGACAACGGATGCATTTTCAGTGTAGTTGGTTAATACCTGGGGTCACAAAAAATCTAGTCATGAAAAATGGGGTGATGAATGAAAAAAGTTCAAGAAGTGCTGTATTAGGGGAACAATAGTATGAAAAAAGCTTAGTATATATCAGATTTAATATCAATTTCTCTATTACTATTAGTAAAATGGTATTTTAAAATTCTTTTTCTTTTCTGAATTAGAATTGTGATAATCTTTTTGAAGAGATTTTTGACCTTCCGGAGTTTGGAACAAAAATAAACAATAAGTTGAGAATTAAAAAAAAAAAAAATTCTGCAAGGAGATATTTCTGGTGTAAATTGAAGACGAGAAGAAATATTTTTTTTTTCTTAATTGCAGGTGGATGCCTTGGCTGAATTGTTTCAGAAATGTAAACAACTTGAAAACATCAACATTTCCAACTGTCCCCTCACTGACCAACACCTGATGCACCTGTCAAAGGTAAGAGTAAAGTTTTACTGTCCTTGTTTATTTTGGAAGAGAATTCCTCTTAAGAAATATTAACAAACAGATATCTTAGAAATCATTTTGCAATAAATGTTTTATTCCTTTATCATGAACTGATGATAATTGTTTTTCTGAAAACTAATTCCAAATCTGAATTTTGTCAAAATTGGCATTCATATGGAATTGTAGTACATGATTCATGCCAATAAATGCCAAATAATCAAATTTAATGTCAATAAGGAGCCTTTGTTCTAAGAGAGGCTGATATGTACTAGTTCACCTCCAGATGATACCAAAATAGATTTTGCAGTGTCACACCTGAACATTAGAGATGCCATCAAGTTGATATGGAAGATGGTCAATTTTTTCTCACTAGTTGCTGATTTATCAATTCCTAGACCAGTGAAAAGACCTCCCTCCCACACCCTGTTTTCTTGTGGGACTTGTCACCATCTTGCTTCCAGTTAACTTTGATCTTAAAAATTTAAATTCAATGTCAATCGTTATCTTGTGTTCTTAATTCTTGTTCTTTTATTGTCTTCTCTCCTTAATAGTGTTTTTTTTTTTTCATATTCTCTAACACTCAGTAACCCCTTTGCGTTTTAGTAGCTTTATTGCTTTACTTGAGATGAAATGATTAAAAAAAAAAAATTACCAGCTGAAATGTTGTTTATTGTTTTCGAATTTTTCTTACAGCTTTCAAATTTGAAACATATCTACCTGAATTCAGTTAATATGTCATCAAAAGCTGCCAAGGAGATTGCTAAGAACTGCACTCAGTTGCAGACAATGTCTTTGTGCTTCAACGACTGTGTAGATGATGACTGCATTGCAACAGTTGCTCGTTATGCACGTAATTTGAAGGTACTAAAATGCATCCGATGCAGTATCACTGATCAAGGTAAACAGTGATTTTTTTTTTTTGTTTTTCGTCTTCAGCTTTTAATATTTGAGGCTTTTTTACATCTTTTTTTTTAGAAACTAACTTTAATGGAATTTTTGTCAAGAATTCTTTGTCATTCCTCCATAACCAAAACAAAAAGCAATAAAAAAAAGACATGAGAGTAAATTCTTCTAAAGAAATTATCTTTTAATAGAATTTTTATGGAATCGTTTTCTCTTTTTATAAATAAATTAATTTTCTTGAATTGGAACTGGAGTGTTTTTGCAATCTGGCTGTTTCAAAATAAGAGTTTTTTTTTAACCTGAGTAAATACAGGCATCCCTCATTTTCAAATTAGTGCAGTAAAATTTTTATATACCAAAATTCGATTAATGCGTGCATAATACTCGGTTAGTGTGGTAAAACATTCTTCAGTTTAACCATAGTAATTCAAAATTGATTTTTTTTATAGTTACCAATGTACGCATAATTGAATTGAGAGATTCCCATATTTCTGAAAATATGTATTTGTATATAAATACGAATACATTTTTGCCTTTAATTCCTTAGAAACATTCTCATATCTCTATCTATAAAAGGCAGAATGTGTGTGTGTGTAACAAATGCACGGCCGCAATTTTTGACAGATTTGCACCAAAATTTACATGCACATGCTCCAAGTTAGCGGGAAGGCCAAGACCGACTTTGCATTTCCCAACTCCCATCGATAGTGGAAATAATCGATTTTTTTCATGTTTCTACGGCAGTTTTCATGTAGTTTGCGGCCATTTTGTACTGGCCAGAGTGAGAGCATATAGCTGGTTGTCACGAATAGGCAGGAAGATTCTATTGGCCAGAGCGAGAGCCAACAGCTGACTGACACGAATGTTAACTAGCATGCTAGCACGCAAAAGAAATCGATAGCTGCATTCGTCACAAGTGGGAAAAATTTAAATCTGCATGGCACTTTACTCCAATTGGCTCATTCACTTGCATAAACTCAACGTTGATTCTGATTCCGCAGAACTGGGTTGGGTGTGAAAAAGTATTTGTGATTAACATTCTTTGTTCATTCGTTTTTTTCCAGTTACAAGCTGATCGTTTTGTGTTCATTTTGTTTAGTTCTTTTTTCGTAAATAGATTTAATGTTTAGTATAGAGCTTAGAAAAAATTTCGTGTGTGTGAGATAGGCAAGAAGTAAGACATGTAACAACATCAGCATGGCAAAGGGCACTCCTTTAAAGGCAAGGAAGGGCAAAAATATTTTAAGTCAAGTGATAGCAATTGTTGTATGAGTCATAGGATTTTTGAATCAAGCACGGGCAACGCCAGGCCATGCTGCTAGTTGTGCATAAGAAAATACAGTAAAATGTTTTGAGATGTGGTACTGTCACTTTTGTTCATTTTCATCATACTTTCACCAATGTTTCCCAACCATCATCAGGTTTTTTTTTTATTTTAACTATTTTTCAAGAAGCCTGTTCTTTTGCTAGCGTTCGTCACTTTTTGTTGAATAACACAGAGATTTGAGCATCATTTCTATTTTGATTTCTGAATTATTAAAATTGAAGGAATAAAAGTTAACGAATGAGAATAAATTTATTTTTAGCTAGAACATTCAACTATTAAAAAAAAAAAAGATATTTTGCATCTTATTTGTGATCAGCTAAATAAAAGGACCAAAGTGACTCTTCTCTAAGTGTGTTAATTTTCATCATTTTTGCCAGGTTTTATATTTTGAAAAAAAAAAAAAAACTCATCTCAACATTTCTGGCCTTTGTGGCATTTGAAATGTTTTGTAGAAATTCATTTTTTTTCATTGACTAAATTTTTTTGTTTCAGGTTTGACCGCCATTGGCCAAAATTGTCACAATCTGCAGAAACTGGATGTGAGTTTTTGCAACCAGATCAGCAACGAAGGCGTAAACTTTGTTTCCAACAAATGCAGCAAACTGCATTTCCTGGGATTGTTCTCTTGTGAGAATGTGGAAACTGACTTTCTCCTTGAACTCGAGAAGAATTATCCTCACATCCTTTTTTATTGCTTCAACCTTGAATACAACCGTCTAATTAAAAGAGCTAGTGAACAGGGCTATTTATGATGTTGAGCTTCTGACACACACCAAGACCAACTTTAACAAGGCAGCACCAGCCCAGCACGTGGTGCTTGAGTGTATCCATCTATCTCTCTCTCTACTTCTCTCTCTCTCTCTCTCTCATTAAAAATGAAAATCCAAATTTTGTTAATCTGTGATAAAAAAAAAAAAGAATGACTCGTTTCATCTTTTCATTTCTTTTTTTGTTTCTTTTTTTGTTTTGTTTCTTTCTTTTTCTTTTTAATGAAAAAAAACAAATGTTTGAATATTTTTATTTTTGGCTTTGACGTTAGGATTCTACAACTTTTTAAAAAAATATTTTATATTTTTTGAAATACTTCTTTTTAAAATTTAAATTTATCAGACTTTCTTCAAATAATTATTTTGCTCCACTCAATGTTTCATGGTGTTTGTCAGTTGTGTTCATTAGAAATACCCTTGGGAGAGGTATGACTCCATCCTCTCCTATCTATGGGTTAAAAAGTATCTGGAAAAATCCTTGTTGTTTATAGTAATTTTTAATGCTACATTCATTCACAAAAAATAGCTTTATTCTTACACTCTAAAAATATTCTTTGGGCTTTAAATAATCCACAAAGGGTTGATAAGCTGTAAAAGACAAATTGGTCAATCATGGCTTTTGTAGAATTTAATTTTTTTTTTTTTTAATATTTTAGAATTATAAAACAACTTTTACATTTCAAAATGGTAAAATTATTTAAAGATTATTGAAGATTAAATTTCAAATCGTGATGCGTCATTTAATTCTATCTAAGTCCATGTGGACCAATTTGTTCCTCTTGGTGCAAAACCGATGTTAACCAGAGAAAAAGAAAATTCAAACTTTATATTTAATGTTTTTGTTTTTTTATTTAAAAATAAACAACACTGATTATAGAAAAATGTACCTTATTTTCTTGTGTATAATATGACTTCCATGTTTCTGAAGCTAAAATCAGGGAATAAATTACATCCTTGAATATAATACGACTCAATAGTAGAACCATGCCTAAATTTTTTTTTTTCTTTTTTGAAAGGTTGTACCATCTTATCCATTAAAATGTCAATGTCATACATATATCTGTAAAATATTTAATTTTTTTACAATATTAAAGAATAGAAACAGATTGGATGTTTAGTCATTGCAGATTTCTCCTAATTACCATCTCAAAAATTATTTTCAAATTTTTGGGAGAAAGGTACTAATTAAACATACCCAATAATACATTTTCAGGTGTTAATTAATCTATCTTATTTTTCTGTTTGATATAAATTTATTATATTTCTATATATTAATAAACTAGGAAAATAAAATAATATTGCCTTTCATTAAGAATGAATTGAGAAACATATATTGCGAACATATCAAATACCTTTTGTAAACAATTATCAACACATACCTAATTTCTGTTTTATTATTCATTGGGTTAACTGAGCATATTTGCAATTTTACTGTTCCAAATAAGAGGATTTTTTTTGTTGTTGTTTTCCCCCCCCAAATGGGAATTTCAGAAAAGTTGTACTTCTCTATAATACACCGCCCCCCTCCTTGGCCTTCAATTTTCATTCAAAATGTCTCGTACTATGCACAAGAAAATATGGTAAAATGTTTTGAGATGAGGTACTGTCACTTTTATTCATTTTGATCATACTTTCACCAGTATGTTTTCCAGCCATCATCAGGCTATTTTTTTTATCCCACCCCTACACACCATTTTTCAAGGAGCCTGTTCTTCAATCCCAATCTTCCTTTTGCTAATGTTCATCATTTTTGGTTGGATAATGCCAAAACCAGAGCAACACTGCCATTTTGATTTCTGACCCTTCAATTTTAGTAATTCAAGTGTTAACAAATGTGAATAAATTTGTTTTTCTTCAGATACGACATTCAGCAGGATATCAATTTGGCTAATCCTGTGAGATGACAATGTTGGTTTTAAAAAATTTCAACTTCTTTTTATATATACCCAAATATCAAATGTGTTTACTCTTAACATCTTAAGTGTCAATATTTTTTTGCTGATATATTCCATGAACAGAACAATAGAAAGGAGTATACAGAGGACAAAATGAAGACCAAGTGCATTTTTCAAAAAGGGGATGTTAAATTCATATGATAGTTAACAGGTAAATTGGTAAAAATGTTAACATCCTTTGCTGCTGAATGTGTTAAGCTAGAAAGCTGTTTACTTAGCTAAGTTTGGCACAAGGCTATGGTATCTAGACACCCAATGAGGATTGAACCACTGTATTCCAGTAGAGCCTCCTACTATATTGAAAGTTTTGCAAAACCAGTGTGTATTCAATGTATGTAGAGGTGCAGAAAAGTCCTCAGACCAACCAATAAATTCTGAATTTTTTTGTTTAGATTTTTAGAAATTAGATCAAGCTGTGAATCTTTCAACACCATCTTTTTTTTTTTAAATTCTTTTTAATTTTTTTTCTTTTCTTTTATTTATTATTTCATTTTATTTTTATTTATTATTTTTTTTTTTTACATTTGTGAGGTTCTATCTAGTTTGACTTCTTTCATTTTATATCCGTCTTTTATTAAATAAAATTAATCTCAAGGAATTTATAGGTGTTTCAGATTATGTTGCATTCATCTTTTCAATGTCAAACTTTCAGATGTAATGAAAAAAATTGTTTTTAGCAGCTTTTCTGACAGTTAATAAATGTAGAATTTTGCAAAACTCTCAAAATTGTTTAGAAATAGGTGAAATAAATGGTTAAAATGGTACCACCTGCTCATAGCATGAGGTTCTGTTTCTCTTTGCATATTCTTGGAGTGTTTATTGTTTATTATATTTTAGAAGAATAGAGAAAGTAAATTGAAATCCATTTTAATCTCTTTCTTTTATTTTGTGTTTTAATTTTCTTTTATGAAGCAATTTGTCAAATGACATGCCTTTCCTTTTAATTCTTTTATAATTCAGTAAATTTGCTATGGAATTATTTTCTGTAATGCTTAACACATTCAGCATCAATTTCTCTTTCCTGAAATGTATATAATACTGGAAATCAGATATTATTTACAACAATATGAGGAGGATAAAATGAAGATAAGGTGCGAATTTCAGAAAGGGGACATTATGTAATCAATTCTGCTGTATATCTGTTACTCTAACTTAATTCTATAAAGGTGGGTAACTCTTTCCCTCCATTCATAGAAAATGTTGAACCCATCTTTTTACAGGAGAGGGATTACTTTCAAAATTAATGTTCATATTCTTAGTTTTTTACTTGAGATTTGTTATATCCCTGCGTATGGTTGCACGAGAACAACAGAGTAGTCTGGGTGAGATGGAAAGAAAAGGAGACAAAATAAGAGTAGATAGATTCCCCTATTAGTGCCTTTATCACCTTGTTTGGGTTGAATTGATAAAAATGGATATGTTAAAATAAATTTTTTTGTATTTCCAATAAAGAGGATCAAGGTGGAATGTCACCTTGTGAGCAAGGGAAGCAACTTTGAGGATGGGTGAATCAGTTTGGGCCTGCCATTGAAGCTTGTGTCATGTCAGTTGATCATGGCCATTTGTGTTGATGGTGGCCAACCTGCATAGTGTTGTGCACGGGTTTGTTTAAGCATTCATAGTGGATACATGACACACCCCTTTTTCCTTTTTTTTTTTTTTTTTTTTTGTTACGCTTTTGTTATGATTGGCATCTTTAAATTGTATTTTATATTTTTGATGGGTATGTCAATTGGTTATAATCTGCTTCAAGCTTGATCTTTTTCTGATTCACTACACATCAAAGCTTGAATGGTACAAAAGCTAAATTTAAAAAAGTGTCGCTCTTTGCACAGAGGCTCCAAGCATCACATTCAGCTTACAAAACAAATACAAATGTTCATCAGAGAAGACCCTCTTTCAGCCTCTGTAGAACTTTTACGGCAATGCTATTAATTATACTCTAAGCTATTATATATTGGCTATTAATACATGAGATTATTTTCAGATAATCCAACAACCAGTTTGCTAAGCCTTTATAATTTTAAGAATTGGTTTGTGCGATGCCACCACTAAATTCAAATTTCAAATGCAGAGATTTACTGCAAAATAAAATTTATTTTAAAATTTAAGAAAGAATTTTTATTTTAAAATAAAATTGCATAAAAAGTTGGAGTTTTAACAAGGTAGCATAAAAAATATCAAAGCCAGGTTTTATGGTTAAATTTTGGACTAATCTGGGCCACCTGCTTTCATAAGCTTCATACTAAGAAAAAAATCTAAGCCTCACTTCATGCTTAGCACTTATACTCCAAAACAGAGACCTTTGACATATAACGAAGGAGGGCTTGCAAAACTTAACTCTCATAGGGTTTAGCAAGAGAGAGAGAAAAGGCAGCAGGTCACCTACCTAACAAGCATGTGTGAATGGATAGCAGAATAGTGGGTGGGAGTTTTGACAATTTGAGAAACACTGCTAAGGGTCATAAAGGAGAGGAACTTGTGGAGAGCCATGACAGCACTTGTCCTGAAAGGATACAGCATATAGAAGAGGCTGAGAGGAGTTGGTGAAAAAAAATTATATTGAGTGGCATTAGTGGCTTGTCTGTTGGCTGAGATGTTTATTTTCTATCATCTTCAATTTTTAAATGATTTTAAAAGCATTCAAAAGATGCCATATTTGTTAGATTGGTGCACACAGTCTTCCTGCCATATATTGACTGTTTATGGCCTTGTGCCTAGATTGATTTAAATGAACCAATCATTATCGTATTTATTGTTATTGATTTCATCGTCTGATTGCAATAAGACATTATAAATCTCAATTGTATTTCCTCCAATACAAGGCTTGATAGCCACTCAAGGTAGAGAGTTACAATTGAAATAATAACAACTAACAGGACCCATGTAAATTTCCACTGTGTACTCTTTAATCCATGACCATTCCCAAATAGAAGAAAAGTTATGCCGTCCCTCTTAAAAATACTGAAATGTCAACAGATTGTTAGGTCATGAAATATGATTTAACCTCTCACTAAGATGACCCTCCTT